CATGGTTTGAGTCCCAGACCTGGCCACTTGCTTTCTCTCTCTCTCTCTTTCTTTCTTTCTGTCCCTCTCTGGTCAAATTAAAAATAAAATTATAAAAATAAGGTTAAACAAAGTAATTCTTTTTTTAAAAAAAATTCTTATATATGGGGAACCAGCAGTTAGCATAATGGCTATGTCGCTGGACTCCCATGTAGTTGACCGTGGTTTGCGTCCCAGACCCAGTGGCTTAAAACTCACGCCAGGCGCGTGTGCGTGCGTGCCCAAGATCCCGAGAGGAAAATGGAGGAGAAGGGATTGCGACGTGACCATCCCCCCTGGGGGGTGATTTCTCGCTTTCTGTCTCTCTGTCTCTCTCTGTCTGTCTGGCGAGTGCACGCGCCCTATAGCGAAAAACCTCTCCAAAAAAAAAAAAATTCTTGTATATGGAAAATCTCTAAAAATTAAATTCAGAGTAAAAAAACTTTAGAAATGAATATAAAGAGAAATACAATACAATGAAGATAACATCTAGGCTAAGATAAACATTCAAAAGCTGGACCCTATATGCCCTACTATCCACATGGCATAAAAGAAAGAAAAGTAGGAATTAAAAAAGAAAAGATTCTAAAAGTAGAACACGTACTAGAATAACCACTTAAACTATGTTTTCAGTTCTAGGAGGTGAGTCCTTATATGTGGCTCATGGTATTAAATGGACTCAGAAATGTCATAACCACCAATTTGGGGAGTTTAGTAAAAACTTCCAGAGCGAAAAATTCAAACCAACTGCCAAGTCTATCTTCTGCCACTCAGCGATATACAGTATGGATTACTAGGACGGCTATAAGAATCATGCTGGTAGATTTATTTCTGAGTTAATTTGACTGTGGGGACATCAACTGGCATCTCTAAAAGAAGATGAAATTATATTGTCATAATTAGGTAAAAGTCTGGTCCGGGCACAGCATGCAAACTGCCCAGTGAATCACTCCAAGCTACTCTCTTTAGCTAAAATAATCCAGAGTCTCTAGTATTGGAGGAAATTACACTGGAACTGTGAGGAGAAAAAATAAAGGGGAGGAGAGGTCATGTTTTTGTTTCATCTTACTCATCTTTGGAGAAACTAACTTCACTTCAAATCAACTAGGGATTTAATCTCCTTATAAAGAGATTAAAACTTTACCATAATATAAAACCTGACACAATTACAATTGAATTTAAACCTGAGGTGCTCTTTGTCCTTGTTTTTCTTGGAAGCTCTGACAGAAGTGTCCAAAAGAAATTAGCAATGTAAAAAGATATTCTTTCTTTATAAAAAATCAGAATACTTTATTGTATTTCCTCATGTTTTCCCAGTTACTATAGCCACTGCAATTGTTGGGCAAAGGGTCTCATGCCTTGAGGTTTGCTCAGTCCTCCTGGGAGAAGCTCAGAATCTCACATGCTTTCCTTGTTCAATTCCCCGTGGCCAAGGTGACGGGGATCTATATTCCCAAAGTAGTTTCTCCGAGTATCTCAGTTTCTAGAGCTCAGAAACAGGCAACACCCACCACAGCAAATAGCATATCTCCTCTGCCTTCCATAGAGAATAGCAGGTGGTGATATCTCCATTCTGCACAGGCTAAGTCCAGACAGCAACGTAAATTGCATTTTATTTTAAACTACTTCTTATCCTAGATTGTGTAATGTAAATGAGTGTGGCACTTCTAAGGGAGAAGAGTTTTCCTAATTGGAGACACCCTCCAGGGGTGGTGAGTTGACATTTATTCAGAGACTGCACATCAGTGATGGTACCTACAAGGCTTCGCTAGCTTTATCTCTGATCAACACCCGGGGTTTGTCAATTAGCATAAAGGATAACAAAAATGGCTTTTCATTGGTAAAATTGGTGGCTTGTTCATAAGAATAGTGGATGCTAAAAATGGGTGTTTATTGATAAAAGTGATGACATTCAACATATAAGGACAGGCTAGAATATGGTGGATATATTCCTACTGTTACATCAGTAGAGAATAAAGGTCCAACCCTTATACACATAGTTATGGCTCCCTAAGTTTTTTTTTTAACCATCTATTTTTTTAATTGACACATATGCTCCTAAGTTTGATTCCTAATTGGTCCTAGCATGCTGGTTTAAAAACCCTTGTTCACTTGAAGCTACACAGAAAAATGAAAAATGGGGAACCAGCAGTTAGCGTAATGGCTATGTCGCTGGACTCCCACGTAGTCGACCGCGGTTCGTGTCCCGGACCCGGTGGCTTAAAACTCACGCCGGGCGCGTGTGCGTGTGTGCCCAAGATCCCAAGAGGAGAATGGAGGAAAAGGGATTGCGGCGTGACCATCCCCCCTGGGGGGTGATTTCTCGCTTTCTGTCTCTATGTCTCTCTCTGTCTGTCTGGCGAGCGCACGCACCCTATAGCGAAAATCTCTCAAAAAAAAAAAGAAACACGAAAAATGGTAAATGTATACCACACACAAGCACACATTTGCCATAAGTGACACTTTCATAAAAGCTCATTTTGGAGCAGAGAAAAGGATAGAACCAAGACTCATTGTGTTTCTAGAAGTTGGTGCTTGCTTTATATTTCATATGTTTGGGAGAATTCTGCTTAAGACTTGCTTACATTATTGCACGAGATATCAGCAGAGGAATAGTAAATCTTCTATCTTTCTCACTAATAGAAAACTGGTAGGTGTGCATAATCAACCTGGTTTAGATCCAGTTTTAGCGTAAGAACTCAGACAATGGCTTGAAGAGGAGACAAAAAAGGAAATAAAAGATTAGAAGATATAACTGGACAGCAAATGACTGGTGAAAAGGCGGGAATAGACTTGGAGAAACAACAAGAAATAAAAAAGGAGACAGATTGAAAGGATCAACCAAGAATAAGAATAACAGGACATATTGAAAACAAAAAGATAACCTTTAAATATTCAAAACTTGAGAATAAAATAAAATACTCTGTATTCAACAACACAGGAATATTGTCAAGAATATTGTCAAATAGGTCTTCTCCAGGGTTATTTCATTCTCTAGGGAAAAATTTGATGAAAATGTTTAGGACTCAAAATATTTGTAGTTATTATATATTGTTACAATATTATATATTGTTATTATATATTGTTATAATATAAATATTATATTATATTATATATTATATATACTATATATATATTATATGTGTGTGTGTATATTATAATATATGAGGGATCTGAACTCTGTTGTATAAAATACTTGGTATTTTTGGTCCAGATCCCTAAGATTAGAGAGCTGCCCTAAAATGTGGGAAAAAGTCACAAACAAAAGCAAAGTAGGAAAAGAGAAAATTTCAATAAGAAAGTGAAGGTTTTTAAGAGAAAAGAAATACACCCCCATGCCAGAAATGCACATGAGAGGGTAGCTGAGGAAGGACAGCTCCACAGGAAATGGGTTACACGTTACTTTCATTGTGGGGTCTTGTCATGAATATTTAGGAGGGAAGACCTGTCATTGTAGGTCCCACTGAATTCCCAGGCTTTTATCTGCACTGTGTACTCCTCCCTCAGCTAAGGAATCTGATTACCCAATTATACATGCCCAGAGTGGGGACTTGGAAGATATGAGCATCTGCTTAGGGACCGAGTAGGGACCATTTGCCCTATTCGTTTATTGCCCCACAGGGAATTGGGATGTTGTCCAAGCATCTTGGTGAGATAACCACTCTCTTGGTGCAGGGAGTTCCAGCTGTGATCCCTGGTAACAGTGACTGACTTGTCAGATGTTCCCTTTGCTGGGGTACTGGAACTCCTTGCTCATAACTTTTACCTATAACAATATGATAACTTTACATTTTGTCTAATAGAAAAACACCTGATATCTGAACAGTAGAAGTGGGAACCCCAAAGTTTATAGTTTTATTGCCCTGAAGGAAGTGAACACATTTAGTATCTAAATCCAGTAGTTTTTTTCTTTCAGAACCTATATATATATATATATATTCTGTTTTTAAAATTCTCTTTGAACAGCTTTTACATCCTGCTGGCCCCTTCACTAATGAGTTAAATAAATTTTTGACATGATAATGTTTAAATTTTTTTTAATTATTCTTTGGTGGAAAAGTTGCAAAGTCACTAACAACTAATTTACAGTTGCTCAAAAGGGCTAAGAGGACCAAATTTTGTTTTGATTACTATTGCTGTCCCAATACTGACATGGAAGGGTAGCAGATATTTTCTTTGGAAGATACTTCCATTTCTATTTAACACAGAAGAAACTGAGTTGGAAGAGATGAAATAAATTTGCCTTTATTAAAAGTGACAGTTAGTATTCAAGAGAATGCCTGTCTGAGTCTTTCCCCAAGTTATGCGACCTTTGGTTTCCATGAATGGAATTAAAAAATGAAATTACAGAGCTGCCACATACATATACTTTCATCTTAAGCAGTCCCTTAGTGCTAATGTTCTATGTTGCTCCAGGCGTTTTGCTGAAGCCATTTATTGCAATCTGGCCAAGACTTCCACTGCCCAAGGCTGATTTTCCTTCAGCTGTGAGGTGATCTGCATTCTCATCAAAAAGTAAGGATTTTTTTTTTTATGGGATCCTTCCTATAGTTCTTTTCTAATAGACGAAATAATCTTGACTTTGGCTCTAACTAGGACATTCAGGAAACAAGATAATTATTCTTACAATTATTGAATTGTCAGAGACTGAGAGAAAACAAACCCCCAAATACCAAAATGTTTCCAAGCCAACATTCTCTCCAGTTTTGAGACCACAGTCAAAACAAAAGTTATATCTTCACCCTCAGTTTTTCATTGATCGTTTTTCCTTTAAAACATAAAGATTGATTTTGATAGGCAAAGAGCAAACTGTGAAATAAAAACTTTAATAAGACACTAAAGGAGAGATGTTGAAAACTGTGAAGTTCTAAAACATGGACTGAGAGTCCAGCCAGTACCTGGTAGGTAAGGCAGCTGGATCCCACATGGCTGACGACGTGAGTAAAGTCTTCGACTAGTCACTTGAGAAAGACGCCAGTGTTGGCCTCCTGTTGCTTACCACAGGCTGTGTTTCTACACTAGCTGTAGAGAAAAAGGAGGCAAAGTAAACTTACCCCATATGCACCAAAACCCTATGCCTAGTTTGCATGGGGAAGGGAGAGAGAGAGAGAGAGGTCAATACATGTGTGTGCCCAAATCCTGAAAGAAGGGAGACATGGATGAGAAGGGATTGCAAGATGACCATTCTTCATTGGGGATACTTTCTCACTATCACTCTCTGCTAAGTGTATGCACTCTCCCACAAATTAAGAAAAAAATTTTAAATACACACTGATTATCAAATCATTCCCTTTGTTATGTCTTCTGGGTGCCTACACTAATCTTGAGGAACTTAGAGTCTACTTCAAAGAGACAAAGTGAGCAAAGAGCAAATAGTCCAATATTCCAATGTTAATGTGAGAAACATTCTAAATGTTATAGAAATTCAGAAAGTGAGGACTATGACCAGGATAGGGCAGGGGAAACAGGTGGTCTAGATTTAAATGCAGAGATCAAAGTCCACCAACGTCTTGAGTAATCTACAAAACTGGAGAGCAGAAAAGAAAGATTTCTAATGGCAAGATGGATCTGTCGGCAGAGTTTGTGTTGGAAATTCAGAATCAAGTACTGGGACCAGCAGTTGGTGTAATGGCTATGTAGCTGGACTCCCATGTAGTTGACAGAGGTTCAAGTCCTGGGCCCGATGACTTAAATTCACACTGGGTCAGTGTGCATGCATGCCCAAGATCCCAAGAGGAGAATGGAGGAGTAGGGATTGCAGCATGGCCATGCCCCCCGAGGGGGTGATTTCTCGCTTTCTGTCTCTCTGTCTCTCTCTGTCTTTCTGGTGAGCGCACATGCCCTATAGCAAAAACCTCTCAAAAAAGAATCAAGTACTATTCAAAAAATTCTTACCTCTTGTCAAGTAAGGTACATGGCAATTCACACAAATATCATGCATATTTAATGTCATTTAATTGTTGATCCTGTGAGATAATATAATTATATACATTGTACAGATGAGAAAGCTGACGTTCTGCCCAACAAGGCTGACATACTATGTTCATGCACATCTAGAAGAGTGCAGAGGCACATCGGTGTCAGGAGTGGAAGTGAGAAGGTTGCTTGATAAAGTTGAAAGATAGCGGTAAACCTTGAACAGAAGACTGAAGGGTTTGGGCCTAAATCAACAGGCATTAGAGAATGAAATGCATGTGGATGTTTCCTTGAGCCTAGGGCATGATAAAGTCAGGGCGCAGGGTGGAAAAGCAGAGAGAAGGAAAGGGGAGCCTGGACTGTATTTACAAGTTTCTTTCCATTCCAAAGAGTAGCTCCTTCCAGTATAAAAGAAAAACAAAAACATTTTTTCCTCATGTGGTTATATATTTCTTTAATTTTTTTGTTTTAATTATAAAAATTGGTTAAATAAGCATAACTTTGAAAATTACCTTCTAATTTTAAAAACATTTAAAAATAATTTACCTTAATTGATCATTGTGATGGTTAATCTTAGGGATTAATTTGACTGGATTAAGGGAGACCCAGGTAGCTGGTAAAGCATTCCATCTGGGTATGTGTGTGAATATGTTTCTGGAGGAGACTGGCATTTGAATCAGTGGACTGAATAAGGAAGATCTGCCCTCACTCAATGTGGGCAGACACCATCCAATCAGCTGAGGGCCTGAGTAGAAGAGAAAAGACAGAGGAAAAGCAAGCTTAGCTCTTTTTCTTTCTTATGAGGCTTGGATACCCTTCTTCTCCTGTCACTGGAATATTAAAACTCTGGGCTCTTCAGCCTTTGGACACTGAGACTTGCACCAGCCACCCCATAGATTCTCAGGCCTTCAGATTTGGACTGAGCTATACAACAGTTATTTCCCATTCTTCAGCTTGCAAATGGCATATCATGGTACCTAGTGCCACAACCACATGAGCCAAGCCCCCTAATAAATCCCTGTACATCTTTCTATCCTTCTGTCTATCATCAGTCAGTCACCTATCTATCCTATTCTGTTTTTCTGGAGAATCCTGACTAATACAGTTCTAGCAAGAATTCTGGGAGATGAGAGGGGCATTTTGCAGATAGGGAAATAAGGCACAGCAAGTTAACATTTCTCAGTCCTTGGTTTTCATAAACGATATTAGTACTATTACAGCCAAACACATCAACCACTTAAAAATCATCCTTGAATCCTTTCTTTTCCGTAAGACCTAACTCTATCAGCCACCACATTCCAACTGTCCTACCCCATTTTAATAACTCTCGAATGGAACTCCTCCAGACTTTGCCTAGAATGCCTTTGCTATGCATATTACTCTTCCCCTTACTCCATTTCTCCATTTCATCAGCATACTTGGCATGCACACACATGTGTCTTGCATATTTTCCAAGCTTCCAGGCCTGAGATTTGAACCATGGTCAGCCATGTGGAATCTGGCTCCTTAAGTATAGTGTACATCAAACCACTGTACTGTGGGGTTGGCCTTTGCCTAAGCTATCCTAATTAAAGCTTTTATGACTTTATTATTTTCACCAGGATTATTCAAACAACTTAAAATTGACCACCCTGTCTCGTTAATATCTGACCCCTTTCTCAAACCATTGTCAGTGTCAGTAAAATTTTTGTAAAATTTTGACTTGATGTCTTACCCACCATTTCAGTGATTTTTACTTTTAGGGAATAAGTACAAACTCCATTGGCAGATGCACTAAACTAAACATTTGTGCCCCCTTCCAAATGCATATGTTGAAATCTTAACTCCAAAGTGATGATTTAGGAAGTGGAGCCTCTGGGAGATGATTAGGTCATAAGAGTGGATCCTTCATCAATGAAATTGGTACTCTAATGAAAAGAAAACCAGCTAGCACCTTTACCATATGAGGATACACCTAGAATGCAGCGTCTATGAGGAAGAGGATTCTTATCAGACATCCAACTTGCTGTGCCTCTAGAACTGTAAGAAATACTTTCACAACCTCCCTCTACCACCCAGCTTCTGGTATTTGTTAGAGCATTCTGAATGGAATGAGACACTACATTCGTAAAAGACACTCCAAAGAGCTGTCTTACCCCTTCTACCACATGAGAACATAGTGAGTAGATGGTCATCTATAAACCAGAATGGGTTCTCATCAAACCTGAATTTGCCAGCACATTAATCTTTTCGGCCTCCACAATCAACAGAAATAAATTTCTATTTTTTTTTTTGAGAGGTTTTTGCTATAGGGCACGTGCACTTGCCAGAAAGACAGAGAGAGAGATTGAGAGACAGAAAGCGAGAAATCACCCCTCGGGGGATAGCCACACCATAATCCCTTCTCCTCCATTCTCATCTTGGGATCTTGGGCACACATGCACACATGCCCAGAGTGAGTTTAAGCCACTGAGTCCGGGACTCGAACCATGGTCGACTACATGGGAGTCCAGTGACATAGCCATTACGCCATCTGCTGGTCCTATTTTCTATTGTTTTAAGCTACTCAGACTATGGTATTTTGTTATATTATCCCAAATTGGTAAAGACAGCAAAGCATACAAGCTCCTTCATAATCTACACTCATGTAATCCCAGTGTTCTCTCTTGCCATTTACTTTCCACCCATGAACCCCCAATCATATTCCTGTACCATGTACCATATCTTCCAACCACATCAAATACTTTCTGTTATTCCTAGGAGGCCTAACATTGAAAATCTCTGCATGTGTTGTTCTCTGTGCCCGAAATGCCCTTCCACATTTTCCTCACTAGGCAATAACTTCCTGATTAGTCCTTCAAAATGTATTCACCGTGTCTCCTTCTCCAGAAACCTTCCAGTTCCATACACTGGAGTTCGATAACTTTCTACACGAACTTGGCCATGTCAAAGCATGTACTACTCTTACATCATGTTGTACTTTTCTGTCTGTTGGTCTCATCACTAGACTCCATCCCCCACATTTGCATATATGCCATCTGTTCCTTTAATACATCTTTTTTTAGAGGCCTTTACTGGGCAGAGCACTTAACTGGGCTTTGGGGAGCATAGGAGCTATAAGAACACGGTCCTTGTTCTTGAAGGGAAATACTATGAAACCAAAAAAATATATATATATATCCAAAGAAAAATAACAAAGCATACCAGATGTAATAGGTTGAATCAAGGTTCCCGACCCATAAAAAGGTATGTCCAGCTAAACGCTGAGCACTGAGCATATGACCTTCTTTAAAGAAAGGGTCTTTGAAGATGTCATTCATTTAAGGGTCTTTTGATGAGATCATCTGACTTAGTTGAGTGAACCCTAAATGCAATGACAAGAGTACTTTCAAGAGAAGATGTAAATGGAAGAGGAGAAACAGAGAGAAGGTGATATGAAGACAAGGACAGGGGTTGGAGTAATTTATCTAGGAGCCAAGCCATGCCAAGGATTATTGGCGGACACCAGAACCTAGAAGCATGGGAGGGATTCCCTCTCAGAGCCTTCAAAAGAACCAACCCCACTGTTACTTGGCTCTTGGACTTCTGACCTCTGAAACTGAGAGAAGTAATATATTTCTGCTCTTGAAACCAACTAGTTTGTGAGAATTTGATGCAGCATCTCTAGGATACTAATACAGCAAATTAGAAAAGAAAAAAGAAAAGAAAAGAAAAGAAAAGAAAAGAAAAGAAAAAAGTAAGACCTCACTTATTTTCAAAGTGCTTTTATATATGTTCATTGCTTTCTAACAATTTTAGATGTGATTCTTTTTCTTTATCCTGCACATCCTTTTTCCAACTGGTGGTCCCTAACACAGTGATGTGCATGTAGAGATACAGTAAGTTCTTAGTAGATATCAATCGACAGATAACTAGACTTTCGTGATGAAGAGTGAGACTCTACCACACACAGAACAAAGTGAGTTCAAGTACAGAAATGCGTGCTTTTCTTACTCCTGCAAAGGAAAAAAAAACTGTCAGACATAGGAAATAAATGTTGGAAGTGCATATTGAGCATATAAATTGGGAAATACAAGTCACAGCACAAGTCTTGTGACAGTCAGTGCATTAATTTTTCATCAGTTTGGAAAATAAGTATCTACTACCTCATCTAAACTGCATGGGCCTTTTCCGGTATTTTAATCATGTTCAATAGTCAATAGTGAGCTCCAAT